GCCCAGGATATAACAAGCACTACACCCACAGGATTGATGGCCAAAGATGTTGACACGCCTGGAAACAACGAATCAATTAGCGCCTACACACCTTAGTAGGCCTTCCCTCCGTTTCGCTCTTAAGTTGATTTTTTTTTTTCAATTTTTTTTTCTTTGGATAAGACTTTTCAACTGTGATTGTCCTTCGGAAGCTGACAGCACGTAAAAATAATTTGATATTCATGTCCTCTGTCGAGTGTTAACAGCACGCATACAAAATATTAAAAGATCCACTTTGGCATTTCACTATTATATAGAGTTCCTTTTTTAGAGTTCCGAGTCTGTTAACTTGAAAAGTGTCTCATATCTCTAGAAATTCGAGCTAAAACATCTGCTACTTAAAGTTGTTGGCGGAATGCTGTTCAAAGGACTGGGTTACATGGTTACCAAGAGTTATTTTTAATTACTTAATCCAGCATTAATATATTATGACATTCTACTTCTAAACATTCATTCACCGCCTTAGGTGGCTCAGGGCATTAATTGATGTCACCACAATGCCTCTGACCGGGTGGCCCTAGGGTTTGAGCCCTGACGGTGGCAAGATTTTAGACGCAGCTATATAACTACGTCGATTTCAGCCGCTGTCTGGAGAATTCTAGCGGCCGGCTACTCTGATCGGTACTTTTCCTTGGTTTCTCCGATCAACACCCGGCGAATGTCGAAGCAGTAATATAGTAACATACACAAACGAGCCACGGATCGCGTGCGATCTCTCCTTCCCATTCCTGGTCCTATCCCCCCCCCTTATTTACACACACACACACACATACATGCACTACACTACCACTCTTGGAAGCTAATCCTGGCTGGGCGGATGAGCCTGTCCCGGCTGGGGCGGGGCCCCGCTGGTGGGAGTCACTGGTCGGGGAAAATCCCCGCAAGCCGGCATAGATCGGCGCCGGATCTCCCCATCCAGCGGGTGAAGATCACTGCCACCTCCCGCGATAAAATGATGCACCACACTTACGGAACTCATGACCTTAGCACTTGACGCGCCCGGTATCACTAATCGATCTAACTAAAATATTCATGGTATTGTGAAATGAATACACTTGCGAATACTGCCACAAATCTACATAAACTCTGATCTTGTGAGAAATACCCGAAACCCCCTGTGAAATGCATTTTGTTTTGCCTGTGTCTCTTGTGTGTCTTGATCGCGCATAACGAGGATGCGGAAAATCTTAGGTAAGGTTATTTTCCGACTCTAATTAGCTGGTACGATCGAAGCTGTTTTTTGAAGGATTCTTCTAAAAGTAGGTTTCACTGAGAGGAATTTTAATGATTTATGCCGATCTATATTAACAATTGCTTCTTCAATTTGCCCCGTTGCTGTTGGAAACTTGCGGAGGCTAACAGGTCCTTACGTGCATTGTCAACCTTGATTGTGTTTGAACTGGTGATCATGCAAAAACCCCGGCTAATTTGAAACTAGCTTCAAATGAAACAATCTTCAATTTTAATAATTTTCGCTCTGATCTTACCTCTTTTTTAAAACTGAATAATTATTTATATTATCTTCAAAATCAGGTAAGGGTTTGACCCCCCCCCTCTCCTCTTCGACATCTATACGCGTTGGACTATGTAAATGTTTTTGCAATTTTTTAAAATGTATTTAAAGTTGCTTCTCGACTACTAAGGTCATACACCGACCACTGTAATTAACATTGGTTTTTGTAACTTTGGGGTAACGGTAACGGTAGCGGAACTCTCATACGAACACAAACACACACACACACACACACACACACACACACACACACAAATACCCATGCCCGGGGCAGGACTCAAACTCACGACCCTTCAAGCCGAGGCAGTTATGTCCCTTCACCCTTAGCGACCTCGGCTACCCAGGCCGGTTTTCCATTTGTATTTGGAGCTTCATCCGTGACAATGAAAATGAACCACACAAACCAGTGTAACTATTGGCAGCAGATAGAGTACAGGCTATTAAGGAATGTGATCCTCAAGATAGATGAGTTGTAGAGTTACAAAAATAACTTAAATTAGAAATTTGTATGATAGCATTGACAAAATTGTCTGACTTAATTAAATTCACGTGAAGCTGAATGTAAGTTTGTACACTTATAATTCTACAAACGTGTTCTTGCGAACCTCTTTTGGCAAATTGCTGTGTTATAAAATATTGTAATTTCTTCTGTTCTGTGAATAAAATATTTATTTCAAGTTTTACTCAAGTTTTTTTTTCTTGCCTTGTCAACTTAAAACATTATCAGACAAAATGTTAATATAGGAATATGTAGCCGGCGTCGCTAGCCGAATTCGTTTACTACGCTCCGTGAAGTCGCGGAGATAAGCGAATTCGAAACTCGCGACTCGCGGGTTCCTGGTTGGGTGACCTGGTTGGGATTTATGGGGGTCGGGATCTAACGGCGTCGAGCCCATGACCGAAGGGATAAAAGGAACTGACGGACTGCAACGAGACTTGACAAAGGTAGTAAAGGAGGATTACGCCATGTAAGCGCTCAACGCCCAACAAGTGTTCAAGAGACGGTTGCGTTAACAAACACGCTACAATTTAAAAAAAACAACAAACAAACAGGAGATATATCCAATGTGGTCTCCTTTTGCAATAGTTTTTGTTGATACTGATGATTATGATGAGAATATTTAAAAAGTATGTAAATAATGCATCCTAAAAGATAAAAAATGTAAATGGAATTTTGAAATAAGTTTTAAAAACGAGTAGCTATTCAATGGATATTTCTTAGTATCAATAATATTCCTACGTGCTATTGATGTGCGAATTCAATAATCAATCACCAAAAGCATTTTTTATCATTCTGAACTAGCAAGACTGTTTACATGCTGTAAAATGAATATTCTTTACTCTTAAATATTAGATTTGTATTTTTGCTGCATTTTTTCTTGTTACAATCATTCTTTCTTCAGCATTGTGTTTCATTGTGTTTGAATAAAGAATTCTGAAGAAAATGCATATCCAGAAATTAATGGTTTTGAAATGGCTTTACTTGGAAAATAATAATAGACCAAGAAGCCTATAAATATCCAACCAACTTTTTACTTTCTCGTCATACTACGTATTTAGCTAGTAAAGAGAAAGAATTGTAATACTGTAGCCAAAATCGGCGATTTTTTGACAGAAAAACTGTGTTGTGGGGCACAGGTATAGGAAAAATGGATACATCTTGTTCCTATATATGTAATAAATTAAAAAACGTTGTATAGTCGGTATCAAAGTTTCGTGGGAATTCTAGCCGCCGGGTGCTCCGAGCGGTAGTTTTCCGAGGTTTTCCGGTCAATATCAGGCAAATACCGGAGCACGGCCGCGTGCGATCTTTCCTTTCTCTTCCTTATCCTATCTTCGCCCCTTACTTACGCCCACTTACTTACGTGCACTACACTACCACAAATGTCTTAGAGCTTGTCCCAATGGGGCGATGCCCCGCTGGTGGGATATACATGGATTAGGGAAAACCCCGCAAACCGACGTGTAGGTCGATGTCGTATCTTGCCATCAGCGAAGAAAGAACACTGCCACTATACCTGTTAAAACATTCACCTCACTTATGGGACTAATGACGAGAACAGTTGACACGCCCAGATACACAAAGTAATTAGTCAACAAGAATATGAGTAAACGCGCACCCATATACACGAACGCTCACGTCCGCCGGCGCGCACACTTTTATACCTGCACTAGCCGCAACAAGGTTTGTAGGTCCACTACATTTTAAAAAAAAAAATATTCACGCCCGCGATCGCATACGACGGTGTGTTATACTCCGATTAAAACGTGGGGCGAATTGACGTGTGATCAGTTGGGACGCAATTTAGCAATCGAAAGCTTCATTGTCAAAAATTAAGTTATAAAGAAGGTTTCGATTGGACAACCACGTCCCAGCTTATTGCTGATGATCAACGTACGTTTTAATAGGAGTGTAGTAAACTTAGGAGATGCGCGCACGCGATAAGTAAGAATTTGATTCCAAGTAGTGGACATGCCCGCCCCCCTCAAAAGGTCTAGAAATTTCGTTTGTTATCTTCCTCTATTTGGTAAAATTGACATAAATATTTGTTTGAATTGTGTAATTATTTAAAAAATGGTATTGTATAGCATCATATACAATATATCTACTAAAAATAATATAATAAAGGTTTAAAACTATGATCCCCTCCCTATGAACATCTGGATCCATCCCAGATTCCAATTCGTCAAAACAAACGTCGTCAGCAGAAACGAACGAGCGGGAAGCTTTAAACGATACGTTGCTCAATGAATAAAAATGTTACTGAAGAAATACAATCTATTCATTTAATATAAACCATGAATTTGAGAATCGATGAAAGGAACAGAAGTGGTGGTTGCTCATACTTGCAAGAAATGCTGTAATCTTTATAGTATTTGCCTGCCATTGAGCCAGAAACACCACTGGGGTACAGGGGAGGGCTACTGACAATTCAAAGACGGCTTAAATTGTGATAACAAAACAGTTACAGGAATGGAAAGGAATTATCTCACATCCAAGCTGTCAGGTGTTTTGTCTGCTAGTTATCTCAATTATCAAATGCATATCCTAGAAGTTGATATTTAGTATTTAGTAAATACAATTGGAATTTGTTGGTTTCTTTTGTCAGCAGTAGCTTAGAATGTTTCATTCTTAAATAACATAACTTATCTGTCAAATCACAGTTTAAAAATATTGTTTAATTTTTAAAATGTTTGAAAGTATCCTTTTCTTATTTGTTCCAATGACACTTTCCAATTAGTAAAAATGAAAAGAAACTGTCCCTTTTAAACTCAAGGTCTTCTTTTGCCATAATCAGATTCTGTTATATGCCAAATGAAAGCAAATACAAATTTCTGCCTGAAAAATCAGTTTTTTTGTGAATAAGAAGCTAATATTTAATTTGAAAACATTCAGCATTTGTGAAATAGGAACCGTTTTATTCATATACATTCATCTTCATTGCAGGGAGGGTAATGATCCTGATGACTACAGCAGATTAACTTACCGTAAATTATTGGAAGAAGTATGTAGGTTTGCCAATGTATTGAAATCAAAAGGCGTTACAAAAGGGGATCGTGTAGCACTTTATATGCCTATGATTTTGGAATTGGTGATTGCAATGTTGGCCTGTGCTCGTATTGGAGCAGTTCATTCTATAGTTGTAAGTATAAAATGTCAGAAATAAAGAAAATGGAGAGTCTTTAAAAGATATTTCATTTTTGATTTCTTTGCTTTCTTATTACTTCTAAAGTTCTATATTCTTCCACATTGTTTAGTTTGCTGGTTACTCTTCTGATTCTCTGGCAGAACGCATGTTGGATTCCAAATCAAAAGTCTTAGTCACAGCAGATGGAGTATGGAGGGGTGAGAAGCTTCTTTGTTTGAAGGAAATATGTGATGCAGGTATGTTGATAATCTCCCTTCTGATTATAAACTCTGCCAACACATAAGTTATCATGATTAATGCATATTAATTACTTCTATGCTTTTATAGGTATGGATAGGTGCAAGAAATTTGGCCACGAAGTTGAATCATGCATAGTGGTGAGACATCTGCCACGTTTGAGTGGTTTTCAGAATCGAAATGGTGTAACTGAAAGTAACAATTCTTCTCCAGAGAAGCGAAAAGCTTATGATAGTAAGGTAGTGTGTCATATTTGGATACTTTTTGATATATGCAGATATTAACAAATTGTTGTTGTTGGTTGTTTTTTTTTTTTTTTTTTTTTTTTTTTTTTTTTTTTTTTTTTTTTTTTTTTTTTTTTTTTTTAAATCTTATCTTATCAAACTTTTTCTTTATTTGTAGCAAATTCCTTGGAATGATGATAGAGATGCTTGGTGGCATGATGAAATGGAGGAAGCATCATCATCTTGTTACCCAGTTTGGATGGAAGCAGAAGATCCTTTGTTCATGTTGTATACAAGGTATATTATATGATGTATAAGATTTCTTGATATTGTATGTTAAATAACAAATACATTTTCTTTCTAGCCTCTGTCTTGCGTTATGGTCTCTCTTGCTACATTGTTCTTTGAAACATGTTATTCATCAAAGTTGTAAAGACCAATACTGCATCTTTGAAACCTCATTTCTTCTATCATTCTTCTTGATAACTTTATTTTTAATTACTTTGTCACTGCCTTTTCAGGTTGATCTGATTGTACACTTCTTGCATTTTCCAAATACAAATAATATTTTAATTTGACACAACTTGCAAAACCAATTGTGTCTCTTGACTCCAAAGAAAAGTTACCTGTGAATGAAAGATAGGACTGCTGAAATTATGATGAATTTTGACATTTCAGTTTCATCCAAAATAATTTTCTTGTGACAATCCATTAAACAATTAGTTTTGCAGAATATAATGATAATATTGTAAAATTCTTTAATTTTTAACGTCCCATGAAAAACATATTTTTTACTTTTAATGTGGTTACTAAAACTTAAACGTAATGTTTTGAAGCATCCTACATATTCTTATATTCTGTACGATGTCAATAGGAATCTATAGAAAATCTGTTCAACTGAACATATTTCTTTTATGCTCCACTAAACATTTTTATACTTTCTTTGGTAAAATCGTTCTAGTTTTCAGCGAATTTCATGAACTTCATGATAATTGTTAATCTTCATTCTCATAGTGCAATACAAAGTGATTTATTTTTTAATTTTTAATTGTGTAATGTGAGTAAGTTAAGCTTACCAATAGTATGTCACATCTCTAAAAGGCATTGAATCAAGAGGCAAAGGCTCTGGACAGTTGAGATTCAAAGTTGTCTTTTCATGACTCTCTCTTTTTATTTTTGGTGAAACTCTTGTTATTTTTGGTAACACTATTGTGAGGTATGATATGCCTACTTTGCTAGCTTTCCTAAATTAACAGATATCTTTAAAGAACTGCAATTTATTAGTGGAGTATTTGTCAGCAAAATATCTAGATTTTTTATCTATACAATAACTATGAACAGTTTGTCAGTGAAATTCTCTGTATTTTTTTTCCAGTATCAGATGTATCAATTTCTCACATATAAGACACTTTAAGACAATACATTCCACATATTAATATTTCATCAAAATCTTATTTCTACTATAAATTTCTCATCTTGTTCTATATAATTTCAGTGAATATATGCCAATTTTATAAACATAATGATATATATTTATATTGCCATACAATTAAATATACAAATAAAAAGTTTTTGATCATCTTTCTTTTCAGTGGATCAACTGGTAAACCCAAGGGAGTGCTACATACTACTGCAGGATATTTACTATATGCTGCAACCACTTTTAAATATGTGTTTGATTATCATCCTGGGGATGTATATTGGTGTACAGCTGATGTTGGTTGGATTACTGGACATACATATGTTGTATATGGTCCCCTAGCAAATGGAGCTACTTCTGTAATGGTAATACTATTAAAATATTTGTTCTCGTGTATAGACTTGGTGAAGGTTCACTACATTAAGATGATAATTTTGTAGAATGAGCTTGGAGTTATTGAGGCAAAATAAAATTAAACCAAACAATTTTGTATGACAAATTTTAACTTTTTTAATTTTCTATTACTTAGAATGAAGTATTCCATTTTATTGTTGTGTGTTATTGTTTCTTATCATGATGTATCTGTTGCAAATTCTCTTCCCAATTGGTCTATGTAATTGAATGAATATTGCTGTATTATGCTGGGATATTATCATTAAAAAACTAAAAAGGTGTATTTGATCGTTTACCTACTACATGTGCCTTTTGCCTAAATACTTGTATAAAACATACTATCGGACACCTTCCAGTATTTGAAAATGTTTCGTGTGTAAAGTAATACATTAGAGATGGCATCCAAATCCACTATTCAGATATTCTTTGCCAGGGCGTTTCTTTTCAAATTTTTCTTAAAAACTGCAATTTACTATTTATTTTTAAAATATATTTACATTTACAGTAATTATGGTATATTGTTATTTTTCAGTTTGAGGGCACTCCATTTTATCCATCAAATGACAGATTTTGGCATGTTATTGATAAATATAGGGTGAATCAATTCTACACTGCACCAACTGCAATTAGGGCTCTAATGAAATTTGGAGAAGAACCAGTCAAAAAGTGAGTATTGTACCAATTAATGTAGATCGTTTTAGAAGATAAGGAATTTTCAATAAATTAAAAATAATTTTTCTTTGAAATGTGTGTGGTCTTTTTACTTGTAATCTAATGAAAGATGATACCAATCTGATTTGTTTAAAGGCCAATCCATGATGTACACAGTTTAATTCAATCATGTAATGTGTGCCTTCACATCATTAATATTTTTATTTACTGATTTCACATGGTGTGATAAGAGCATTTAAAGATTTTAGAAGACCTGGTTTTAAAATGCCAAGTGATATAGGGAAGAGACTAGATGTTCTAGCATCTTAATGCTAAAAGTAAACCTGACTTGGTGTGGAGAAAGTTGTTTCATGGACTACGTTTATCCTAAAGAACATTAAAAAATAATAAACAAACCAACAAGTTTGACCTCTGAAGCTTTATTTAAAAACAATCTTTGACGGCCGGCACTGTTTCTTACTTCCTGATGTCTCCAGTTCCGCATGCAGACAGTTGGTTTCAGAGGTTTCTGGTAGCCCTTGCATCATACACTCCAGCCCTCCAACTTCTTGGTGGTCTTTTCTGTTTTCTTCTCTTCAGAGGATCCCCTTGCCACACACATTTAGGCCACCTTATCTCCACCATTCTCTCAAAGTGTCCATAATAGATGAGGTGCTTAGTTTATATGCTGTCCATTATATTTCTCTAGTTGCATAATTTCTCCTTTACGTTAAATTATAATTTAACTTTCTTTAAATACATTCAGTGGTCAAAAAATTGTATTAGTAATAATATATAGTAATAATTCCATGCATATTTCTTTTGGTGTCCCTTCTATTCTAAGGAAGAGGGGACTATCCCACTGATCCATGTTCCAAACATCTTTGTGAAATTGTTTGTTAATTAGTGTTTCATTCTGATATATTCTGTCTTGAAGCAAGTATTATTGTATTCAATAGTTAACAATCTTTCACATTATACAATATGGACATTTTATTGCAGGCATAGTCTGAAATCATTGCAAGTACTGGGGTCTGTGGGAGAACCAATTAACCCTGAAGCATGGCTATGGTATCACAAGGTAGTTGGTCATGAAAAATGTTCAATTGTCGATACGTTTTGGCAAACTGAAACTGGAGGACATGTTCTGACCCCACTGCCTGGTTGCACACCAATGAAACCGGGTTCTGCTGTAAGTCTGTGAATTAATATTATGTCTGATGAATTTTTTGTAGGTCTCTAAAATGGAGAAGAAAGAAAGAAAATAAAAAACAAACTGTACTTTCAAATGATATTTATTTTAGTTATATTTATTTTATCCATTTTAGTCTGTATAATTTGACAAAAAAGCAAAGAAATGGAAGTGACAATCCAAAGAAATGAAGGTGCAATTTGTCTTTATTTTCTTTTGAAATCTCTATTTTAAAATCAGTAAAATATGAATGAAGATTGATTAAAATAGTTACAACTCTTCTCTGAAATTTATTGCCTTTGCTGCAGAAGCAAACTTCAAATCATACCAAGTATTGTAAAATTAATGACTTCAATGTCAACTGTTCCACAACATTTCAGGAAGGTTGCGATAGGGTCCCGTATTTGCTTGTCCTAGCCTTGATCAAATATGTGGGGAGTGTGATGTCTAGTCTTTTTAACTTCTGCAAAAAAACCCAATAGATGACTTTGAAGAGTAGATTTAAGAGGGCTTGGGATACTTTCAAAATTTGGAAAAGTTTAAAATCCCTACCCCTACTTGGATTTGAAGCTTGGCTCTTCATTCCCAGGAACCAATGATATAAGTAATTAAAATTATTATAATTGCTACATCTGAAGCAAATTATGTTAAGTGTGTTTGTGTGCATGTGTGTTAGTGAAGTCAATGCACATCGCAGGGTGCATAAATTAATTTAGTTACATTATTTTCTTTTATCTCGTTGTATTTAAAGGAAATGACATGCTGGACAATCTTTTTGAATTTTGGTAGAAAGCTAATTTATTATAAATTAATGTTGTGAGGTACTTAGCCCTAACACATTATCCAATATCTTATATTTGAAATGAATTTTAACAGTATTATTGTGGAATAATTAATAATTGATCATCAATAGATAATGAATAATTAATAATTAATCATATTGAGTAATTAATATGAAGTAATGTATTGTGTTTTCTGATCTTATTTCTAATATTTCCTTTGTTTTACATTTAGACATTCCCATTCTTTGGAGTCTTGCCAGTGTTGTTGGATGAGAATGGAAAAGAGATCAATGGTCCTGGTGAAGGTTATCTTGTATTCCGAAGACCGTGGCCAGGTATAATGAGGTCTTTGTTTGGAAATCATGAAAGATTTGAAACCACATATTTTAAGAAGTTTCCTGGATATTACTGCACAGGAGATGGTGAGTTATTTTTATTTAAGACTTAGCTTTCAACATTCCAAAATATTTTACTCCAGACATCTTTTGTTTGCTCCAGGAATTTGCTAGGAACTAGTAATTACTAGCTAACTACATAACTTGCCAACTAGCCATCTTTCCAACTAGTTAACCAGCTAGGAACTAAATTGTAGCAGCAGTTATTCCCTTATAAGTGATGCAGGTCACTAAAAGGAAGAGAAAATTAAAATTTACATAAAATTTTGGATTTTAAACAATTTCAAGGTTTAATTTGATTTTAGTTTCTTATCTGACTTCAAAAGAAGAGAGAGAATTGTAATCATGTGCTGGAAAATGGAAAAACTAGAGTGAAAAACTGTTATTGCCAGGCCCTAGTAACAAAAAATGGATAAATCTTATTCTTATATGTAGTAAATTAATTCATCTAACTCTTTGGGTGGTATGATTCCATGTTTTGAGGGTACTTGTTACAGAAAAATCTATTGATGGCAAAACATCTTGCTAGTGCCTATACCATTCATACAGTTTTCTCTCTTGCTCTTTTTTTTATTGATGGCCCCCTGATGGCTTTAAAGGAACTCAAGACCCTGTGAGTTAGAAACGGATATTATGGTTATTTCATTTATTTTACATGAAACCTCAATTATTTTCAAAATTTTCTCAAAAATGGCTCGAAATGTTTCGACTAAACTTTGCCCCTCAGATAGTGTAAAGAATGCTTAAAAAATGACACTGGTCTCATTTTCATTGAAAGTTGATTGAAAATTGCAAAAATTCAAATTTCTTTTAGGAGTCTTCCTACATCTTCTACAATATTAAAGATAGATTTTTTGCTTTAATGAAATCTGTTCTTCAAAGACAGATTTTAAAATAACATTATGTACAATTTTTCTAAAATATAAGTAGTTTTGCAGAATTTTGCTTGAAATTTAGACAATTTTGAAACAAATGTTTTTCTCAAAAATGAGCCCCAATTTTTGCTGTGAATTTTCTCCTTGTATATTTCAGAGGACATTAAAAAAATTGGTACTAGTCTAATTTCCAACAATCACTCTTATTTTGGAAAATTGCAAAAGTACATTATCGAATTTAAGAGATTTTTGTCTTTTAAGAAGTTTAATTTAAAAAGATCTTTTAAAAAAGTCATGTAGAATTTTTTGAAAAAACAACTATTTTTCACGTAATTTCTGCTTGAAGTTAATGCAGCAATTATTGTCTTGAATTTTCTATTGTAGGTATCCACTTCCTTATCTTGCCTTCTACAATGAGGTTGAGATAGTGCAATTGCTGTCAGGTTTAATCTTTCTGCAATAATTTGAACATATTTGTTACTCAGTCTTTCCTTTAGTTGTTATATTCACATTACTGCACATACCTCTTGCATCATGAAAAATGGCTTAATTGTTTATTCAATGAAGCATTTTTGCTTAATTTGTGTTAATTATACTTTTAAAAAAGTCTTCAATTTATGAATGAAGCTGAAAAAAAGTTGTAAATTATCAAAGAATGTGGGAGAAGAAAGGGACCTATGCAATTTTTATAAGCCTACTTTGCTCCATTTGAGAAAAAATGAGAAGCTTTAGAAGCCATTTTTGAAAAAATAATTGTTTAAAAATTGCCAAAAAGAACCTTCAAAAATCAAAATATCAATTTCCAAATTCACAGGGCTTTAAGTTCAGCCAGATCAATTGGGTAATATCAATTTTGAGAAAATCATCCAATCAGTTTAGGCTCTAACGTTGACTATGGACAGATTTTTCGCCATCAACAAATTTTTCAGTATCAAGGACCTGCAATACTTCAATTCTGTCTACACAACATATTAGAGAAAGTAATTTACCACATATAGGAACAATATCTGTGCACTTTTTCAATACAAGGGCCCCTCAATATGAGTTTTTCTGACAAATCTCCACTTTTCACTGTGGCATTACAATACTTTCTCTTTACTACTCTAGTATGTAGTAGGCAAGAAAGTGAAAGATATTATATCGATGGCTTAGTGCACACATATTGTATGTCAAGAATTTCTAGTTTCAAGAAAATAAAGCCTGGAAGTTTGTAAAGGTGGAGTTATTTATGGAATGGCAATGCTTGCTTTTTGGGAAAAAGCATGATCCCTCTCATATACAATCTGTGAACACTAGACAGATACGAACAAGCTGTCTCCAAACACAGTATGAACTCAAAAATGACCATAGAGTGGACATATAATGTTTGTGCACCAACTTATTGATATGCAAGTCTAGTATGTAAAATAGATCAAAACATATTATTTGCATCAAAGGGCAAATAAAAAATACATTAAATTGGAGATATAACAGTTAATGTTTGCTGTCCATAACTGTGATAATACACCAGCCACTCTAAAATAGCAACAAAAAAAAAAAAAAAACAACTACTTTGTGTTAGATACAAACAGTTGCAGTTTTCAGTTTCTGTGCCCCTCAAAATGTACTTATTAGTTGAAACCCCTCATGCAGTCTTCTGAAGGAGGTGATATTGATGTTGTTTTTCTTCCATATCTTTGTTAATAAGTACCTCTTGAATTATAGGTGACAAAAAAAATTGTCTTTGTTTTTTATCTCCGGAGAAAGTAAAGCATGTGTGTTGTTAGTTATAAACTAAAATATTCTAAATTAGTGAGATTGCTCAGTTTGTCATGAATTTTGTTGCTCCTGAATCTCAAATTAAATTTGTAGAGTACGTCTAAAAGACTTGCTTTCACTAACTGAAATAAGTGTTGAATTCATGACTATTATTATTAATAATTAATGTATAATTTTCTCAGGTGCTCGAAGGGACAGTGATGGTTATTTATGGGTGACTGGTCGAGTTGATGACATGTTGAATGTTTCGGGACATTTGTTGAGTACTGCTGAAGTGGAATCAGCCCTTGTTGAACATCCTTCAGTTGCTGAAGCAGCAGTTGTTTCACATGCCCATCCAGTAAAAGGAGAATGTTTGTATTGTTTTGTTACTCCAAATGAAGGTGCTACTTTCTCAAAGAAACTCACTGATGAACTCACAAGAAAAGGTAAGAATACTAAATACAATGAAACCTCACTAAAAGACCACCCCCTCTTTATGAACAATTTTTCCTGGTACAGATACTGAAGCCCTTGTATTGTATGTAAATAGCACCCCTGTTAACAGACCACCTTTCACCCAGACTACTGACCAACTCCTTCATTGCAAGTTTCTTAATTTAACCCTCTTAAGAGACCACTTCCAGGAAAATTGTAAGAATACAGTGCACTGAATTTTTGGTCAGAATAAAATTGTGCATGAACTTATTTCCTCAAGGAAATGAAAGGGTAGAGGGGCTTCCAGAAATCGTGTAACAATATACCATGGCTGCTAATTTGATACCACAGCTGCTCACTCTAGTAGTTTCATTTCTTCTACTGTGATGGTGGATATGAATGTGACCTTCTTTTAATTCTTTGAATTAATAGAACTTACCACACCTTACCTTCCTGGAGAACATGTATTATGGAAGAATATCAATGCCAGAAGTCAGAATTATTGTCTTTCCCACTAACATGCAAGTGTTTAATTTGTGTTCAGAATCTATGCCAAGTTCTCACCCAAGAACTACTGCTTGATGTTTTGTTTTACTTGTGAAAAGAGGTGCAATAAAAGAGAGATTTGCTATGCATATCTAGATTATACTATGCATAACCAAATAAGTCTTCATAAAAAAATGGACGTTTGTTACCAACAGAATATAAGGAATATTATAACTAAAAATGGTTTTAACTTTTACTATTCTACCCAAGAGGAGTAGATATGATTTATTTTTAAAAAAATCTTTAATGAATTTACATAGTAAATCTGTTTTTCTGTAGGTGAAAATATACACTTTTCTTAACATCCAATGACTAGTAATAATAGGCCATTTTTTGCTAAAGAAATAACATTCCCCTTATTAAGCAACCACCTCTCTAATTGACTATTAACCTTAATCTTTTACGATTAATAAATGTGTCTTCAAAATTTCCACTCAGTGCTCAGATGATGAAGCATTTTGTACGTTGTTCTTAGTATTACAATAATAAAATACTTTTTTGTGTAATCCATTAGTTCAGTTTATTTTGAAACGTTCCTCAAACTAAAGTGATCAATTTAACTCGTACTTATCTAACCATACCTAATGTAGCCCAACTAAATATAAGTTAATGTAACCAGTAGAAATGATATGTACACTAATAACATTTTCAACATTCATATTCAACACAAAAAACAAAATTGTATTACAAAACATATTTATTATTTTTATATTATAAAATTGATATTAGTCATATTTTTTCATATCAGGAGTGCGGGGGTTCTGCAGACTTAAGATGTACATTTTGTTGTTAAAGTTAAAATCACTAAACAGCTTTTCTAATTTTCCAAAAGTTAAGTTCAGGTATAGTTTTTGGACTTTGTGCCTTTTTAACTTGCTCATTCAATTTATTTTATAACTTGATTTTGAGATTTTTTTAAAAGAGTAAACACATTTACAATTAGTTGTGTTATTATTTGTGAAAATTCTTATGGATTTAATTAAGTTAGAATTTATTATTAATTTTCATTCATAATTGTTTTTAAAAATAAATTTAAATTTCAGTTCGAGAAAAGATCGGCCCTTTTGCTGCCCCAGAGGTCATTCAGCATGCACCAGCTCTCCCTAAAACACGCTCTGGGAAGATCATGAGGAGAGTTCTTCGAAAAATTGCTCAAAATGATAGAGATATTGGTGATATCTCAACATTAGCTGATGAGAGCATAGTTGAAATCTTATTTCAGAATCGACCTACAGGATTAAACTTCTAAGAAAGCTTTTCTGCAAGTTACTGGCACAAAATATGCCTCCAACTCTTCTTGAAGCAGTATTTGTAGAGATATGAATATACATACACATATACATATACACTGTGTATATATGTATTTATATGTATATAGACCTACACACATTATATGTGAAAGTTGTATGTATAGATGTGTTTTGGTTGTGTTGAAAGAATAAATTTAAAAATTGATTGTTAATGTTGAATATTCAATTACACTACTTGGCAATACTGATCATAACCCCGCATTAGAGTAAATCTTAGGAGCTCCAATAATACTATATTATTGCTAATTGATCAACGGTCATCCTCTAGTTTTATTTCTTATTTGAATACTTTGAGCTCTTTCCTCAGAAAATGCTTCATGGTCCTTTTATAATGTATGTTTGTTCGCTACAAAATGTATATCGTGGTTAAATTATATATGCTGATTGTAGAAATGGGATGGAAGAAATGATTAGATGTATTGCTGTAACTATACGTACAAAACACATGATAAATGTCAAACATAAATTATTAAATTATAAGACACACAATTATATGGTTGGTTTCTTTATAACAGAGTTTATCTTGTGCAAAAATTGAGGAAAACCTTTTCATAAGGTGCATTTCCTTGAAGATAGAAATCGCATTTGGTGAATAGAATCACGATACTGATGTATCACTATCTAGTCTCTATACCATTTGCATTTGCATTTTGCATCCCATCCATTTGCACTGTACGCAGTTGTGCAGAAACGTTACATATCATTCCATCAGGAACATGTTGACTCATGATAACGAATAGAAGGATAAGTTTTAAAAGTGTTAGAAGACACAATGTATTATAACAGATTTCTTGTTGGAATAAAAACGTCCAGAGCAGAAATATTTTACTAAAAAAAATACACTGAATTTGAGATTACACAGTTGTGCTTTGGAAGTTTCTTATTTTATTAATGTTTTACTTTGTGGCAAATGTTGTGAGAAAATAATAAAATATTTTACCATGTAAGTGAATGTTAATTTATTTATATATTTTGCTACCCGTTTATATATTTTGATACCATATTATGCTTATGCTTGTGTTATGGCTATTTGAATCTCTAGCACATAATATTTTGAATAGTTAAAATTCAGACCTGAAGCTCTTCAAATACCTATTAAGATTTTTTCTGCATGTTCTAATGATGCAACAGCTTCTTTAAAAGCTTTACAAATTTCTATGTCTTTCATTGAGATCTTTTCATGTTACACTGTAAGTTGTATGTGCTGCATGCATGTCTCCATTTGAGTATGTAACTCTCTGCTGTGAGAATTATATATTTTTCAACCTGATAATTCCCTTATATTTGGGAACTCTATCTGTATATAATCTTTACATGAGAGAGAAATGAATCTTTTCTTGTCTTGTTTATTTGGTTGTTTTTTTTCTTCTTCTGAGAATTACAATCTCGAGTTAAATGCATTACATTTTGCTTCAGCTTTCAAGAAGTTTAGCGTTTGTATGAAAAAAGAATTTTCTGTGAACATTTAAAACTTGTTGTCTCTTTCAAATTGACCTTTTAACTTAAATTGATTATTTGAAGTGAAGTGACAATCTCACTGCACATTCATCTTTACCTAGGAAGAAGTAGAAGATGAGGAGAGGAACAGAGGAATCTCTTCAGATCTTCTAAAGGCCATAAAATTTGGCTGAGTCTTGTGCCTGTCCTTTAATACATATCAATGCAGAAGACTGGCCTCCCAAAAGGCTTTCCAAATTTCATATCAATTCTATATTGCTGACTGTTATTCAAGGGATCCAAGCCTCAAGGGATTTTTCATGGCAAAATTTGTTTTACATGAGAAGCTACTATCTTTTGAAACTTAATCATTCCATTTGCTGGTTTATCTTCACTGTTTATTAGGTAATATTAAAAGATTACATCTCCTGTATTGAACCCAATTTGTCATGATGTATGATTCAGCAAGGTGCATTTTTAATAGGATGAATCTCAAAACATGTCAGAGCAGAAATTGTTAACCTACCTAATTATAAGTGTAATGTATACAGAGGTTTATGAGTATGTTAATGAAAAGAAAATACATAAAATTTTCAAAATAATAATTTATGTATTACTGAATGTTATTATTGTTATCTTAGTTGTCGCAATAAAAAATGCTTCTTTTATACTTTTTTTAATTAGATATATTCCAGCTTTTAGAATAAACAGTTCAGAAGTGAACATCCATGAAAATTTAAATTAAACTATGAATGAGTTACAATTTTTCAAATGTTCAGTTCAATGCAGAAATAATTTAATAAAACCTTATGTACCGCTCAAAAATTTCTTTCATTAAGAAATTGTGAGGAAAAAAATGGAATTTCAATGCTTTTTTCTACGGATTTTTACTAGACATTTGTGCCCAATTAATGCGTATATACATAGAGACATAGATGCACAAGTTGATCTATGAGAGTCTTCTAATCAGAGCCAGATTTACTGATAAAGGTTTTCTGACAACCTAAGCCATCACAAGTACAAGGGTCTTCATTGCTCTTTAAAATATTAATAATATATGTCTAATAAGAGATTGTGTTTTAAAATACTAAACCAAAATGTTGAAAAAAAATTTTAACAAAACATATCTATATCAAAACTTTTCAAGATAATCTCTCTATATAGTTCTCTAAATGTGAAAAAAATGTGAGAGAAACATGGCACCTATAAGGTTGCATGTGTAATGTCTTATTTGATTCATTATCAACTCAAAATCTCAGGAAAAAATTTATAAAAGATTGACTTTTATTGTTAAACAAAATAAATATAAACATGTAAGCAATTTTATTAATATCTTCAGCTTATGGTTCGCTTCACTGCCTCATGACAACACTGTGTATCTTTTGCCCTATAATCAGCTCGTAGATACTCCATAATTGAGTGCATTGTAATTCAGTGGTTGAAATCAAGGTCTCTCTCAATGTACTTATTGTGTTTCCACATGTGTGGGTGATTTAGAAAGAAAATTCTGTATTCTAACTTTGAAGGAACTAAGCATTTACATGAATGCAAATGGGCAAAGCATTGATCTGGCTCTGATTGCTGTAACATTTACTGAAAGCTATCTTATAAGTAGATTTAAATAACTTTCAATATTTTTTAAATGTAATTGTGTTATAATTTTCAAAATGTTGCTCAATATCTTTTGCTGCTTCAGGCCACTAATTTAGTATGAATATTTTGAATTGCACGTAAAATGTAGTGTAGCTCTGAAGATGCTGCTTATTCTCATTTTCAGAATTTCTCAACGCCAACTTCCTATTGATATTTATAAATATTAAACATCATGATAGCTAAATATATTGTTTGGTACTATGTCAGCAAAATTATGATGAGCACTCATAGAATTTTCGAATTAGATCCGCTGACTTAAAATGTTGACATTTGACTTCGTTGAGATTTAGTAAGAGATAAATCAATGAAAAACACTTGCGAGTACTAACGGGTATGAGCTGTGTAAAGTGCGGGTAAGGGCTGTGTATATTTCGCCGCTGGTGATGCGATCACAGCTTCTTCATTGGCGTTTCTGCATCCCCCCCCCCCAAACAAATTCCTTTTCTTTTCCCCAGGGCCCCGATTTTTCGGTAAACACGCCCGGGAATCCCAACGGTCACGTGTCAACGGAAGTGGCCTCCGTAGCGGGAGACAGCTTGACGGCTTGGCCGTGGGCGAGGACCGCTCTCGTTCCTCCTCGAACCGCAATCCATCTCCGCCCTGGATCCCGATTACAACCCAGTAACGTGCTGTGTGACATCCCTTGTCGCGAGACGCCATACGAAAATGCAAATTACGCGCGACACGCGGCTATGTACTGAAATCGGTCTTTCTCCCGAAAGGCGGGAAAACTTGCCAGTGGTATTCCTGGATACGCAATCGGCCTTCGACTCTGTACGGCAAGACGGGGTGCTCTTGTGTCTCATTGAGACCAGAGTTAGCGACTCCTACGTCAGGATTATTATCAGCTTCCTCACAGAAAGGCGATTTTAAGTGCGAATAAATGGCGTAAACTCATCACTCAGGCGAGTCAAAGCTGTAGTTCTGCAGGGAAGTGTACTCTCCCCGAAACTCTTTAGCCTATTTATTATCGACGCGCCGCTTTCAGTGGAGAAGAGAAGAGGAATACAGCGTTGCGGGCTCCTGATGTTCGCAGACGATTTTGCTTACGAGTACTACGCAAAGTCGGCGAACGCCAAACAAGCTGTAAAGTACCTAAATACTTGCCTTGGCTTTCCCGTAAAAGGCTAGCTCTAAACCTAGAAAAATGTGTGGTCGTCAACTTCGCCCGCCAGAGGGCAGATCCCACTGAGCGGGCGATGTAGGCGGGCACTCACATTCCCTCGTCTTCCCACGCAAGATCCCTCGGCGGTACCCCCGACCGGGGCCTCCGCTGGCACGAGCACGCCAAGAACTTCCGCGCGAAGATCGAAGCCCGTACCACACTTCAACCGCTCCTCTGCCTTCCGAATTACAACCGGCTCAAAAGCGCCGATTGCTCCTAGTGGACGAACGCTTGCGAAGTATTCGCGGCCGCTCCGGTCCCCGCGCTTCGCCCGATTCCGGTGACCGTATCGGGTTCTCCCACAGACCGCTACCCTTCGAACAGAGACGTCTACGGGATCCAACGTATCAAATGCCAGTTTCCTGGTGAACTCGCCAAACGCGCCAAGACGGCGCTGAGTCGGTGCGCTGGGCCCAAAAGCGCCATGGGTAGTCCGCGACCCCGGCTGGTCGGCGACCAGCGACGTGCGTTAGCCTATTTGACCCCAAAGGGCCCTAAACCCGTCGCCTTCACGTGCCGTGCGCCACCGCCTCGGGAGTCCGCAAGGCTTCGCGAGCAACCCGACGCGGTGGCCGGCGCGCCGGGATCGCCGTCGACAATTGGAGTCGACGCCCAGACCGCGGCGCTGCAGGATGTCGGCGCCCCCACGCGGGCCAACGAAGGGCGAATGCGCCACGGACACTTCGAGTTCAGTCGGTGCTGTGGCGAGAAAGTGCGAGTATAGTGTGCATAGCGTAAATATAGTGTAGTAAAAATGAATGTAACACGAGAACAGTATAAATAGAGTGAATCAGTGCGAGAATTGAAGTATTAATGAGAGTAAAAATAAGAAGAAAGTTCAAACTAAGACGCGTCATTTATAAGTTAAACATTTTTTCTAGACTTAAGGAAACGGCCAAAGAGCCATTCTGTAGAGGGTTAGTTAAGGCATGCTAGCTATAAGTTAGTTGTAAGATTAGCTTTAGCTAGATTATAAGTACTCCCCCCTTCTGCCGCAAAAGCCAAGTGAGGCTGCGGCGCGCGCGCAGATTGTACTGCCCCTACTAAATTTTACTAAAAAAAAACAACAACAATAAACGTTTTTGAACAGCCAATCTATGCGGGTATTTTTGTACACTATGGATTTTTTTTCAAGATGGTTGAGCGACCATTTTATTAAATTCTGGACCATTGAAAATGGGTTTACCCTTGTATTCTAGATGCGTTTGCGAAATCGCATCAGACACGTGGTTTATGCCCATATCGGCATAGGCAACCTTCTCGACGGTCATTGGCCTTGCAGCAGATTAGAACATAGGAAACGGATGTTACTCTCTTATGGGAACACACAGTACCCATAAGAGGTACTGTAAACCGATACAGTGGCCTGAAGGGCCCAAAGAAAGGAACAATATATATATA